AAAAAATATTCTCCTTTAGACTGACTGGGGAATGGTCCAAATCACGTTGCCATACTGTACGTAGAAAATAACTAAATTCTGATAGCTATGAATAAAAACTAGCAGGCTTTGTGAACTAATTAATGCAGCAACATTACAGATTTGCTCATCAATATACAATTTCATACAAGCATAAGACCAAAAAGGCCATAAAATGCAGATATAAATAGCGAGACAAAATTGAAAATAAAATCAAATGAAACACATTGATGCAATTTCAAGGATTTGAGTGAATATTTTCATTTTTTTCTTTTATATGTACACAATGAGTACATATTTTATGCGAATCCAAGGGTGGGTGGAAGTCGAAATCCCCAACCCTCCTGCTCTGAGACAAAAAAACAAAAAAGCAATGAGAAATATTCAAGAAATAACTGAGTTACATTTAACAACGACATAGCATCTCGCAGATTCTTATGTGCACAAGGTATGTCATGTAATGTTTCATCATCGTTTCAGCTTGTCCGTAAGAGACAAATTGAGACATTAAAAAAGCTCTGGTCTGACGCCCCTCCCTCCAACAAATTCCTGGATATGCCCCTGAAATTTATAGCTCAATGTCAGTTTAAATAGAGTCTTTTGAGAACAATGTCTGTCATTTAAAATGTCTTATGGTTTTAAGCAGTTATGAATCCACCCTGCTGAATACTAGACAGCAGAAGTGAGCATTTATTCGAATGACCAAACCTTTGCGCATACCAGTCTCTTTTAGTAAACATGCACAGATTGTCATAAATTTAATGTTTTTGTACTTATATTTTCATAGTGATGAACTTGCATTTTCTTATTTTGAAACAATGAAATTTGTGCACCAAAGCCTGAGTTCGTGCAAATCAGTACTTAAAATGGCCAGCAAATATTTTACCGACAAAGATTTGAAGAAGGAAATTTCTTTTATTGGCATTTGATGCAATTAACAACTAAGCCTTAAAGCATCACCAATAAACAAATGGGACAGTTTTTCTATTCCTATTGGTCAAAACGCGCCATGTAACTGTGCATTAGGATTTGATAATGCCCGCTGCATAAATTACCTGGATACTGGACAGTTTAATTGATCCTGATTGGTCAAGAGCCGGTGTGCACGCGGCTCACAAAAAGTGCGCCAAGTCCAAATAAGTAGATTCTTTTGGACAACTTAACTTACACAAGGAATATACTACAAAATAAACACGGTGTTCCGGGAAATAAAAGTAAAATTCTTGAACAAAATCCTTTGAAAAATAACGTATATTGATTTTCTTTGACTCTGTTGAAAATTGTATTTATGAATGATAAAGGCATTTATGTGCTTGGTCGGTCATGAACAGGAGAATGAAAGCTGATAATGCCCTCGCCTACTGCTCGGGCATTAGTCGCGCCCATTCTCCCTCCAATACAACTATGTCGAACCACTAAACATTAACTATTTAAACTTACAGTTATAGGATTGTGATTACCTTGACAAGTGACTCCATTTCCACTGTAGCCAGCATTACATGCACAGGTGTAACTGCCCATTGTATTGGTGCAGGTAGCATCGGTATGACAGGTGTCACAATTAGAACCACAAGTTGATGAATCACACTCATCGATATCTGTAAAAGATTGTTGATATCATGCCAGGTTAATCTGAAATTTTGACATAAATGAATGAATTTTGGTTCTGCAGACTGTATGTCAATCATTTAGGAACATGGGGATGAAGGATAGGATTGTGGTTACCTTGACAAGTGACTCCATTTCCAGAGTAGCCAGCATTACATGCACAGGTGTAACTGCCAATTGTATTGGTGCAGGTGGCATCGGTATCACAGGTGTCACAATTAGTACTACAGGATGGATCACATTCATTGATATCTGTAAAAGATTGTTGACATCATGCCAGGTTAATCTGAAATTTTGAAATAAATGAATGAAACTTGGTTCAGCAGACTGTACATGTACGTTAATCATTCAGGTCTACCGGGTTAACCACTTCAAGCCGGGGCATTTTTTAATGTTGATGATGCTGGGCCGACATAATTACCATTTCTCCGTTTTCAAAATTCTTCAAAAATTCATCATTTCATTTAACAGATGTTTATAGCCGCACGAAGTAATCTTTAGGCACTACTCTAAGTTGACAGGTGACATTCACTGATGCCCGAGTATTTCAGCCAGGCCTGCAGCCTTATAAAAAGAGCCCAGATTGTGCGGTGTTATGTAACTTTCTTTTGTTCACAAACCTGGCTCAGTGCACTGCTGACCTCTTTTCAATAGGGGCCAGATTAGCGCGCAACGGTGCTGTGTGGCTCATCGCTGTGGTGGTGGAGCGCTTTTGTCCCCGATGGTAATCCGCTCGCTATAAATGCCCCAAACCCTGGTATTCCGTTTCAAAACAAGGCTGGATTATCACCACTTTTGACAGTGAAAAATGACGATAATTCCCAGCAGCCTGGTCTTTTGTTTGAAGTACGGTCTTTTGTTACAGGGCCCTGTTTCCTTTGTCCGAGTTCAGAGACCCCGGCCAGGCATATAAAGCATACGTCTCCGATTCCGAAGTCCCCAGTAGGAAGTGGTTAAAGGATATTACCTTGACAAGTGATTCCATTTCCACTGTAGCCAGCATTACATGCACAGGTGTAACTGCCAATTGTATTGGTGCAGGTGGCATCGGTATGACAGGTGTCACAATTAGAACCACAAGTTGATGAATCACATTCATCGATATCTGTAAAAGATTGTTGATATCATGCCAGGTTAATCTGAAATTTTGAAATAAATGAATGAATTTTGGTTCTGCAGACTGTATGTCAATCATTTAGGAACATGGGGATGGAGGATAGGATTGTGATTACCTTGACAAGTGACTCCATCTCCATTGTAACCAGCATTACATGCACAGGTGTAACTGCCAATTGTATTGGTGCAGGTAGCATTGGTATGACAGGTGTCACAATTAGTACTACAGGATGGATCACATTCATCGATATCTGTAAAAGATTGTTGACATCATGCCAGGTTAATCTGAAATTTTGAAATAAATGAATGAAACTTGGTTCTGCAGGCTGTACATGTACGTTAATCATTCAGGTCTACCGGCTTAAAGGATATTACCTTGACAAGTGACTCCATCTCCATTGTAACCAGCATTACATGCACAGGTGTAACTGCCAATTGTATTGGTGCAGTTAGCATCGGTATGACAGGTGTCACAATTAGAACCACAAGTTGATGAATCACACTCATCGATATCTGTAAAAGATTGTTGATATCATGCCAGGTTAATCTGAAATTTTGAAATAAATGAATGGCACCCGGTTCTGCAATTGCTTTGTGCAGCCTAAGAATAAAAAATGCGTACAGGCTAGGGAAGACTAAGTTCAGTGTTTTGAGTTGAAATAATTCGTGCAAGTAATGATACACTTGCAGCGTTGCTACGTTTTATCCCCAGCCATGTGCATATGATCGGCCCGGGTCAGTAAGCCTATGCTTTCAAAGCTATGGCTAAACACTTTACGTGTATCTAATATTAGTGCATCTCTGCATGCCTTCAATGGAGCAAAGACCGACCTAACTCGCTCTACACCACAGCTTTACACTGTGCTGGAGTCTGGTTTGCAGTATGTCTACTGTGTATTTTTCTGTGGCACAATGTGGCTGCAGGAACCAATCTCATGCACGCTGCACGGGATTTCTCTACAGTAAGAACTTTCCGAGTTGAATGTGCAGCCTGCCTAGCTACGTACACGTATGTATGTTTCATGCAAGTGGTCACTGTGGTACAGCCATTGTTTCATGGGATTTTTATCCTGCTATACATGTATTTTAACTTATTTCACAATAAATTGTTGTAACTAATTCTCTTTTTCAAAGATCTCCCGAGACTTTTTAAATTCTTTGATTGGAAATCTCCATCGAAAATTTATTGCAAATTGCATCTGGTAATTGCAATGTAATTAAAAAAAAAAAAGGGACTGCAGATTGCCCTAACAGACTGTAAAATGTGATGCAATACAGGGAAAATTGCTGACTGCATCATCATCTGGAAATGGTGTACTCATAACACCACTTCAACTTCCAACTATACAATGTATCAGCAATAATTTCTGCTATAACTGGGGCCAAAAGATAAACAATGCATTGAAAATACTTGCCATGTGACACACCGAGGCAAAACGTGCAATGTGTATTCTTTGTTTCCCTATGTGGCACCAAAATACATGTACATGTATCTCTTTTTTATGTAACGGTAAAGCTAAGGAAAGGAAAAAATTGCATTTTTTAATCATCATCAGCATCCTCACCAGCATCAAATTCAAACAGTCTGACACATTTAGAAGGAATATGACTCAAAGATCTAAGCAGACCAGATTAATAATTTTCATCTTTGCCTTTTGCAGGTACTTGATTGTTACCCATGTGAATTGTATTACATTTGTTTGTCCACGTTCGTACATGTACGTAATACAGAATTGTGTACTTGTCTGTCCACTTCATATATGTCACTGCAGTCAAAAAATTGTTACTCAAATTCTCTGGAAGTTACTTTTTGGACAGCTATTGTCATGATTTTAAACTTGTTACAGTTTCATCTATGTAGAATTGGAATAAAAGTTGCCCAGAAAGAACTGAAAGTGCCATACGTAACATGTTTATACATACATGTATGTAACAGGGTGGACAGACAGCGAAGAAAACTGTCTCTCAGCTTAAACTTTGGCAATGTGGCCAATTTCTGGTGATATTTATGGTCATGTACATCTGGCAACTGGGTAGAAAGCTATTTTATACATCTGATAACCACAAATGAGAAACTACAGACACACATAACAACAAGAGGACAGACATAGTGTCCAAGAAAAGAGTTCCTCAGTTTTTTAAATGGTTGTATTTTGAGGATCAAGAACACTATAAATATGTTAATGATGTTACTTTGAATACATCAGTACCAAATTTGTTTTAAGTTGCATGCATTTTTTCTTTCTGTGAAGGGAGTTAGGTATGTAATAGGCATGAAACAGATATTGTTATGTACATATAGCACATCTTTGCCTCACCCTAAAACAAATATGATGAATGCAAACATGAAAAATGTTTCTCTAAGCTTACTGCAATCTTATGTATTTTACAATGTCATAATTTCAACCGAAATTTTCAAGAGGAAATTTCTGTTTCTTTACAGGAGAAAATACTTGGTCAATATTCTTGCCATCGTAAACAATTGTGCCGATTGTTTACTTCATCGGGTTAGACTTCAATTTGATTCTAGGGTCATCAATGAAAATTGCCATGATACTACAGTGTTATTCAAAGTGACAAGTAATTTGCTTACTGGTCAGTCTGGTCATTGATTTCCTGAGAACAACTATGATGATATCACCGCGAATGATTTTGGAAAACATTTTCTGAAGAAAATTAGAAATATTAAAAAAACTTTAAATGACCAGCAGCTTTCAAATAGAAGTCTCCAATTTTCATCCTGTATTATGGATGTTCCGGTTAATCAATTGAGTGTGTTTTCACCTTTAACTGAATTGGACATTAAAAATATGATTAAAAACACTGCATTGAAAACTTCATTTCATGATCCAGCTAACTGTGCTGAGGTGCTGCTTCCAGTTATTACTGACATTATAAATAAGTCTTTAGAAACTGGTGTTTTTATTGATACATGGAAGAATGCAATTGTCAGCCCGATTCCTAAGAAAGTTAATCTTGATTTGATTCCAGAAAACACTCCTCTGATTAGTAATTCGACATTTTTGTCTAAATTGGTTGAAAGGGCTGTTTTCAATCAGTTTCATGGGCATTTAACAGCCAATGGTTTATATTATCCATTTCGATCTCCATATCGGAAGCATTTTAGTACAGAAACTGCATTGCTGTGTATTCAGAATGACATTCTTTTGAAGTTGAATCATCAACATGTTGTTTTGTTGGTGTTGCTTGATTTAAGTGCTGCTTTCAACACAGTAAATCATGACATTTTGTTGGACCGGCTTGAATATACATTTGGAGTCACTGGTGTGGCCTTAGATTGGTTTAAATCATATCTGAGAGTAGTCAGCATGTTTGTATTAATAACACTCTTTCTGATCGGTTTGATTTGACATGTGGGTTCCACAGGGGTCCTGTCTAGGATCGTTATTATTTACGTTTTATGTTTCCAAACTGTTTGATGTTATTCATCCTCATCTTCTGGACGTGCACTGTCACGCTGATGATACACAATTGTATCTTTCCTTTAAGCCGGGTAATTCACTTAATCAAGATGCAGCTGTCACTGCTTTAAAAATTGTATGTTGGATATTCGTGAATGGTTATGCCATGAAAGGTTGATGTTAAATACTGATAAAAACTGCATTCTTGGTTTTAGGGACCAAAAAACAATTAGAAAAAGTTTCCAAGAAAATTTCAGTTGGAATGTCTAATATCAAACCTGCAAAATCTGTTAGAAATTTAGGGGTTTGTTTGATTAGAGATCAACCATGGATGAACAGATAAATAAGGTATGCTCCACTGGTTTTTATTATTTGCATAATCTCAGGCGGATTAGTAAGCGTCTGAGTCAACAGTCTCTTATTACCTTGACTCATGCTTTTATTACCAGTCAATTGGATTATAGTAACAGTTTGTATTATGGGTTACCTAAAGCACAACTTGCCAAGCTTCAACGCATTCAAAATGCTGCAGCCAGATTGGTTACACATAACAATAGATTTTGTCGTATTACTCCTTTATTAGAGGAATTACATTGGTTGCCAGTTGAATTTCGAATTCAGTTTAAAATATTACTGATTGTTTTTAAATGCATTTACTGTCTTGCACCGGGTTATTTGACTGATCTCGTTATTCTTAGGACACCGTCTCGGTATAATTTAAGATTATCCAATCAACTGTTGTTGGAATATCCGAGAGGCAAACTTTTGGCAACTTTGGGCAGTCGGTCATTTTAGCTGCAGCACCACAGCTGTGGAATATGCTTCCTGCTGATGTTAGGGGTGCTGATTGTATGACCCATTTAAAACTAGGCTCAAAACACATTTATTTAGGCAAGCTTTTCTTTACAGGTATGTTTATTTATGGTCTATTTGAGTTTGAGTTGTTTGTGTCTTGGAGGGGCTTTTTGTGTATGGTAATATTTAGTTGTATAGTTTTTAAGTTTAGTTTGTCAGTTTTTTGTCACTTAATAATTCTGAACAGTAATAATTGTTAACTGTGATTTTAGTCGAGCAATTTTATCTTTGTAATGCGCTTTTGAACACATTTAGTGGAAAGGGTGCAATATAAGTGCATTATTATTATTATTATTCTTTTGGGCATTAGTTATCTTTATTAGCTATCTCATTGTAATATACTTAACAACACAGTGGCATATGAAGTCATTCACAGAAAGTATATCTCATGATATTCGAATGAATTTAGTTGACACTCTATTTTGGGCCATTAGTGTTGAAAGGCGCATATAACAAAAATCATACCTTCAATTTTTTCGGCTAACTAAAAACATTGCATTGGTAAAAAACTACACAATCCATTTTTTTGGTTCAAAACAATTAAAATCCTGTGTTGGAAAAAATAATGATCATTTTCTCCATTACACCTTTTTTTTGCAAAAATACATTTTCAGAGATGGCAGGTGCCTCTTCCAACGAAAAAACAAGTTGGCCTCAATATTGATTTCAATGGACCCAGATGAGGATGCAAGTTTTGTCTGAGCACTGCTTCCATGAAATATCTGAGTCTAATAAGTACTCTATTCTGACAGGCGTCCTTACCAACTATCGGTTAGTAATCCATACAGTGGTTTTGTTGTAGTATAACTCACTTGTGTAGCATCTGCGTAAATAGGTTCCTATGTCTGAGGGATTCACTTCACTCAAAATGATTTCAAATATGTACACGTTCCCTGATGTTGGGTTTGTAACAGTTCTTGTGAGACTACTGAGACCAATGAAGGTAACTGATGAAGTGATCAACTGGTCAGCTTAGAACCAATCACATAGATGACATTAAACTGCATATAACTCATTATACATTTCTGTGTAAATCCAGTCGGCAAACTTCTCCCCCCCTGGCCCGGAGAAGGCCACATGTAGATGTGGCTGTTACTTTCAACATAACTTCAGTCATGGTAATATACTGCATTGCTTACCAACATTCAGCTGATACGTTTGACTGGTTGTTGGTACTGACCCAGTTGAGGCCGAAGCTGTACAGGTGTAGTTTCCTGTGTTTGAGGGATGCACATCACTTAAAGTGATTTCATACAAGGCCGGAGATGGTGGCGTTGTTGTGGTTGTAGCATTTGTCATTACACCATTAGGATAAGAAATGGTGACTGACGTAAGATTAGTTGATGGTAGATTGACTTGACATTGCAGTGTCACATTTTCTGCAGTCCCTTCTTTGTCTTTTACTGGACTTTCAGGGTTGGAAACAAAGGATGTTATCTCCAGATCAACTGAAAAATATTAATGAAAACATTAAATGATTGAGAGAGAGGCGTTTCCACTCATAATAAAACAAATTAATTGTGAAACTTACTTCTTTTGTTGAAGTTCAAACTTAAGTTTGACACTAAATGAGCACAATGGGCAAATCATCTTACAGATGAGATAACTATGTTTTCATATTGAGTTAACATCCTAAGTTCGACATCTTACATTCAACGTTGAAATGTAATTTTTTTCATAACATTATGTGTGTTTGTTTCTAATTTCTCAGATACATGTAGAAAGAGTGACCTTACCACCATGCACCTCTGGTGGGAACATCAATCCCATCAGTACAAGAATGGCAAACATGGCCATCTCTACTGCCAGTCTTCTTAAACAAAAAACCAATGAAAAATAAAAGTTAAGTAACTGTTACAAGAAAGCATGTCAAAGTATCCTCAGAATAATGATGCACATAGACATGTACATAGAATATACATGTAGGTAATTCTGGAAATTAGGGGCCCAAAAATATAACATCTTTCTGTCCCTGTTACACCTGACCTTTGTTATTTGACATGGAAATATCATCGGAATTGATGTCAAACTATTACTATTTGTTTGGCAGGTAATTTGCATTAATTCATCACTCTTGGAAATTAGAAAATGTGTTCCGAACTTATAACATTATGTGTCAGATATGATGGGGACACACAAAATTGGATCCCTAATTTCTGGAATTACCTGCATACATTCAAATTCACAAAGAGGAGGTTTACACTTCTGCTGGTTTGTACCGAAAATAAAGTGAGCACCAACAGAGAAAAGTTGAAGTACAACCTACATGTACATGTACCGGTATGGTGCAAACTGCAAAGCATTTGACAATACGTACATGTATGTCAAATACAGTACATGGATGTGTGTGCATGTACATGTACACGTATGCATGCACAGATGGATCACATTATTTTTCTAGCTGATTTACTTCCTCATTCTAATGTCCAACAGTTTTCTGTTATCAAAGCAAAAGACCAGAGGTTGTGTACGAATACAATAACACAGACTACTCACAATACAAGTGAACAGAAAGTACAGTGAATTGTAGACAGCATAATGCAGCCACCTTATGCCCATGCCATTTCAGAGTCACTAGGCTTGAAAATCAAATTATGACTGAAAAAAAGCACCTCTGTAAAGTACATGTACATGTATACACACATACCGGTAGATAAGTACATGTACAAGTACACGTAACAGAAAATTAAAATATGTGTAGACTACACTGGGGTGAATATGCTGCGAATGAGCTCCAGCGGGCAAAGTTTCCAAACTAATCAAAAGATAGAAAGTATTTCTGCTGCACTGTATTTTCTTTGTATTTTTCTATGACCAGTATATTCATTCAACACTACAAAAAAATTTCTTAAATTCTCTGTAGAACAGTTGGAGTTGTACATGCAAAATTAAAAAACAGACTTCATAATACACATGCTTTCTTTGACAGTACAAGGAGGGAAAGCCAATTTTTTGCAGAAACTTATTCCATTCCAGCAAAATGGTTTTCAACAGACAAAAATGCCAGAAACACATAAAAATAAGAACCCCCAAAAACTTATATCAAAACTTTAATACGAGGGATAAAAGTACCAGGGTACAATGTACTTGTACTGCTAAGAACAAATCCAAACATAACACCTTCCTTGTATTTCTCTATTTTTACATCCCTTGCTGTTGGATCTTGACTTGTTGCCTTTGGGGCTGGGTCTCCTCATTTGATACAAGTACGCTCATGCCATATCTGTCATGTCGGTACATGTACATACATGTAGGAGACCTAGTCCTAAAGTACAGGTACATATTAGAGTGCGTGTATATGGACATACATTCTATGAACCTTTGTTCACAACTGTGCAAAGTAGTGCAAATGTTTTAAAAGCAAGTAATCTTTTTTCCCTTGTACATGTATTTTTGTAAAAAACTATGCAATACTTCAACTCAAATTAAAAACAAAACTGATCATGAAACCTGGCTGGCTGGAAGGCCTTGTAGCTGAAGCTTTTTTGTTTACAAAAGCAGTGGCCCAGTCCTCGTTTAAGTAAAAGCACTCCAACTTGGTTGCAGTTGAAAAAGCTTCCTCAGAATTCACAACCTACGTGCAGAAGTATAAAAAAAGAAATGTACAATGTACTGTTATACTTTTAAGAGTTCAAGTCCACATCAAAAGCAACCAGTTACAGTACACATTAACACTTGAGTTGATCCTCTTTTCATTTGGGTGAGATCCCTTCCTCAAAGAAGACATCACAAATTTGCTGAGAATGGTCTCTCCACACATTTTCTACTTGCAATGTGCATATCGATTCCTCCATGCCTGTACACACACTTGTACATGTACATGTACACCTGTACATGTACACCTGTACATGTATGTACATGTACTAGCATGTGTATGGAAGCATGAGTCAAGTCATGCAAAAAATGGGTGAGAAAAAGGCAAAAATATTCCTTGCTTTTGGGTGACAAATTTTTAAAGAAACAATAGTTTTGTATAATAACTGCTCTCTGTTTTTAGAAATCGTTTTAACTGAAAGAGTAAAAAATGGTAACAATATCTGAAGGAAAATACCAGTATAAACATGCTCAAAGTACATGTACCCAGATCATGTCAGCCAAATTTATGTTGCACAACTTCCTGGTTTTGTGACATTTATTCTTTACATGAAAGACCAACCATTTCAACAGCCTTCATCAACATAATTGCCACATGCTTGTTACGGTGTACATGTACAATGTTTTGCTAAATAAACACAAGTTAAAATGGAAACAAGTTGCACACACTTCACAAACATCGATTATCTTGTGCACAGTACATGGGTACTGACATCAAAATATGACAAGCAAAATCTGAAGTCAAAGGACTAAAATGGCTGCACACTTGGCTGCCGGTAGTTACATGTACTTGTTCACTGTACCTTTCTGAGAATTGGTTCATTAATGAAAAGGTTTAACAAGGAAATGATTTGTCCTTGTTGTCCAAGCTTTCGCATGTGAACTTACTAAAGGGAGTACACATTTGAACACGAATGGGTCCTCATGAATGTACATCAACCACTATGCACAGCACGTTTTGGGGAATACATGTAGATGAGCAGTAAGGACCACACAAGCCACATTATACATGTCCATGTAGGTCTCCGTTCAATTTTTGCATAAAAGAAACATGCCATTAACATTTGAGCTTGGCAAAAAAAGACAAGTGAAGAAATTCAAAGTCTCAGACTAGACTGGTACCGGTGCCTTGTACATGTACTCATGATACATGTATGCAGATTTACTGGTACGTGTCCAATTAAAACCCTGACTAATGGAGCATGACGTGTTAATTGGTGTGACCATGGACAAAATATCATGGAGTATATACATGTACATGTATTTGTACATGTTCCTTGAAGTTTTACCATGTACATATACAAATATAAATGCAATCAACTTCCTTAATGTACCGGAATACACCTCTTTGCATGAAATACAAGTACATACATGTACATGTTCTGATTTTAATGTCCCATTAATGACTCCTTTTGCTTTACGTGTACATGTGTACATGTGCAAAACCTGAAGCTGTTTTGAGAAAAACTTCACCATATAGACAAAAGATAACTTGTCCAAATTGTTCAGAAACTCACAAACACGTTCAGTAGTACAGAATCACTGTGAACTCATGATCAGTATTGATACTGATAGTCAAACTCTTGAATGTACCGGTACATGCATAATGCCTTTGCTTGACTTTCACAAACTACTGTGGCCATTATCAAAATTACACGTATATGTACAGAGCCTGGAAGAAATCTGTGCTTCATATATATATATAGGGCACGTACACGGGCACGTACGTACATGTACGTAGTAAGTACATGTATACATGTACATGTATACACACAGAAACCAGAGGCTCTTTTGGGGGGGGGGCCTTAGGACTATCCCATAATCCCCTCAATATATGGTACATGTAAGCCCCAAACCTGAGTCAGATTACACATACATGTATGTACACCTCAAATTACTGGGTAGAACTGTCTTGCCCCAGCACACTGCTAGCTATTATTGGGTAACATACTGTACATGTATGTTACCCAACCATCCAATAGGTGTGATATGGTTCCCTTGCCCTCTGTGTATTTGCACATGTAGAGTGACACACCTGTCAGTCAGCACTGACTATGTGGTTTTTCAGAGACAAAGCAAAGCCATTTCTCTGGAGAAAAATTCTGTGTCAACAAAAATTCTAATTTAAAACTTTGTGGCAAATCAGTATTAAGCAGTTACATGTAAGTGCAATCTTGAACCTTGTGCACATTTTTCACAATCCATCCAGATTTGATTTGTCTTGGAATAACATCCATTCATACGACAACTAAGAAGGGAGTACAACAAATCGTGCAAGGTTCAAGACTGCAGTTACTGTACATACGTGTACATGCAACATCAATTTTGACAAAATGCTCTATGACATCTGTAACCTGCAGCATGTCAGGCCACATTAAAAACTACTGCATGAAAAAGTGTCATTCAACACTCTTAACAGTAAAGCCACACACCCCAACTCTGAGACTGTCCCTTGATAATTCAGGAAAGTCCCCTTATTTGGAGACAAAATCAGTCCCCCAAAAGACAGAATGTCCCTCTAAAGGGCGGCAACCTTTTTTCAGATGAGCTTGGTGATCCTACCATTACCCTGGGGAACCTTTTAATGTCACAATGATTCTGCAGAAGAAAACTCCCAAGGCTGACATTCAAAAAACAAATTTACCGTTTGCTTGTTCTTCTAGGATTATACAAGCAGAAGTCTGCAATAGGACACGGGCCTAAGGGTGTAAAAAAAGGCCTGCATCGAAACAATTTTTTTGAATATCAATCCTCTGCATTAATCAAGTGACATGGCACACAGTTCGTAAAAAACAACTTACTATACAGTACATAGATGTAACTTAAATCAATGAAAAATACATGTATGGGAGAAAAAACTGACAATACCAAGTGGACACAATGTAACAAGTCTTTGCTTAAGCCTGCGCCCACTTAAGGAAAAAATGTCCCCTTTTAAAGAGACAGCACTCCAATTCAGTAGACTGATTTTGTCCCCAAATAAAAGGATTTATCCAAATTTAAGGACAGTCTCTGCGTTGTGAATGTGCCCCTTTAAAGAGCTGCTGTGGGTAAGAGCTCCATCTACAGACATCACTAATTTGTATATCAACCTTCAGAAAGTGATAATATGTCCTAAAATTTCACAGGTTTCAGGAAGGAAAGGGTTCATTATGCGGATACCGCTTGATACCCATGCACAAACCCTTTGCAACTAGTCTGAAAAGTTCTTCACCTGTTTTCTACATAAAAATCGGTATTTTTATGTCCCAAATGTGAACTTTTCTGGACACATTTTAGTAACACTGTATACAAGTCACTGTATTGTACATGTACATGTAAGTACTGCTGTCCACATGTGGAGCTCTTTCCGTGGGGAAAATACTGAAATTGAAATGTTTACAAGTATGAAGAAAGTTAAATTTTTTTTCACACCAGTCTCGTACTGTTTGTGCATACATGTAGGGTAACAAGTAATGTCCATGCATCACTGCATGGAAGTTGGAACTCTTTCTGCGGATTGTTTCACGTCAACATTTACATGTACCGGTAACATTATGTAGTTGTTACGCCCCAACTATAGCATCAGTCCCAACTTTAGTTGGGCCCAGCCCAACTACAGTGCTACAGTTGGGCCGGCCCAACTACAGCAGAGAGGTCCTGTGTGCATGATGTGCCCAGCAAGTGGCCAAGTCATATTCTTGACAAATGTCATTGGTCATAGGGCTAAATAAACAGATGTGCCACATTTTAGATGAATTGTGTCAAGTGTGAGACACATTGACTTGGACAATGTTGAGACATTTCCCACAGAATTTGGTGAACAATAGTCGGGCCAGCCCAACTGCAGCACTACAGTTGGGATTTAAGCTATAGTTGGTACTTAGGCTATAGTTGGCGCGTAACATTGTGATGGACATGGATTGTTTGTCCGTGGCATGTGCCTTGGGACTGAGTGGAAATGTGACCACTTGGTTGGGGCTCAGTGACATGGGACAAAGTACAAAAGGGACATCTGTAATCATTTCACATAGGCTGAATTATAGGGGGACATGCAATGCCGCACCCTACAACTTAGTAACGAGTACATGTACATGTACAAAAAATGCTAAAAACGCGGGTAGGGCCTAGGCCCGTGCCGTGATAGTACTACTATCACGGCACGGGCCTAGGCCCTCCCCGCGTTTTTTTTTTTTTTTCGTGTACGACCACATACGACTCTATACTACTGTTCAACATACCGATTTTTACACCTACCTGTTTAATAGTTTATGATGATAGCATTCTGATTACATTTACAAACTTAGAAACACCGAGCACGCCAAGAAGAATTTGGTCCAAATTTGTTCACTCCCGGAAGTACCGAGCCGATCAATGCTTATTGCTTATATTTCCTTGAAAATATTGGATTGAGCCAACTGAGGGCGCTCTTGAAGATCAGAGCAGTACATCGTGCGCACTGTACTGTGGGCCTACTAGGCGCCCAAAAACAGTGCAAAATCAGACCGAAATAGCGCCGTCTGTTGAAGAGATTGGCCTCCATTTTTTCATTAGAAATTCAAGATTATGGCCAGAAGGTCACATTTCGTTTCAATTTTATGGGGGTTAGCCACGTGATTTTATTTATTTATTTTTTTTTTTTTGATTTTGTCTTATTTGCCTTTCCGCAAAGATACCCCAAAAATAGTAGTAAAACTATGCCCTCAGTTCTGAATTGACCGCCCGCCTCTCTCTAAAGTAGGCCCGCAAATTGGGGCTTTTTGTAAAGGAAATCACCGAACTGCAAATTAGGTCTACCAGTCTCAAATTCGAGATTTATAGAAATATTTCTATGATCCCTCCTGATTATGGCATGTCTCACTGTAAAAACCCCGTGGGATCACAAAATATTAAAGATTTTGCGCGCACAAATACAACGATTTGGTGGAATGCTCCTAGCTGTGGTCCCTCTCGCGCGGGCTCTCATAGTATTACGGAAGTGTACAAGGACCACTTGCAAAAAAAAAATTATCTCGGTGGGCGGCGAGTTACTATCTCCGTGGGGGGTAAGATAGTAACTCGAAAAAATTGTTTTGCAAGTGAACTTTATTAACTCTCATCAACATTTTGACACTTTAGGTCTGTTGCACGTATACGTATCCGAAACGGGCTTCTGTGGCTAAGACTACCTCCCTTACCGGCGCATCCCTGCGCATTTCCAATGGACTGGAACAGCTAAATCTAGCTCAAGAAAACAGAATCGGATAAACGAAAGCAGTGCAAAATGGGAAAAAATAGCGTCCCTGGTGACAGTCAGGAAGAGGTCCACCTTTAGTGTTTACTGAGAGTGATCTTATGAACCTTATATAGGAGGATTCTCTTTTGAAGTTAAACCATGAGTGTAAACCATATTAATTTCAAAAAGTAAACTCTCCTCCCTCCAAAAACCTCTAAAATAGTGGTAAAACTGCGTTTAGGTTCAGATCTGCAAAGTAGCTCTCCTCTATGCCGAATAGGCCCACAGGTTACAGGTTTTTGGGAAACACACTGACCCAAGTTGACAAGTCCCACACGTTTGAGTTAGACGAGAAGTTCCACAATAATCGATCTCAATTATTCCATCTCTTAAAATTAACTCCAAATAACTCTTAGGAACACAAGGGAGATCTCTCTAAAAGAGGAGCCATATAAAGAAGAGCTCTTTCTCGAGCTGCCCTATATAAGGCTCCTTGGCAAGGTGGAACTTTGATTTCTTCCTCATTCCTACGTTAGAAAATACATTTCTTTTATATGTCTACCTCATGCGAGGAGAGAAATTATCGCCAAAGTTTAGTGCTTGAAGAAAACAAAACCTAAGGACAAAATCTTGGTGAACAGTTGGGCTGGTCGTCCGGTGAACCTCGACACTGTCACTTTTATCTGTTATCATTAATTTTGTAAACAGAATATAACTAATTTAAAAATCAGTACAAGCCACGGTATACGAAAGTTTTCAGGACAACCTACAAGACACAAAACGGACACCAAACATTCATTTTTATCTGATTCAGCAATTAAAGGTGAACCGGATAAAAATGGGATTTTTACTTTCGCATGGAGAGGATTAATGCTTGGAAGGCTCCTAAATTCCTAAGAACTGGTATGGAAGTAAACTAGCGGCGATATCAAGTTCATAGGAGATGAAACAGATGAATACAAGTCTTAAGTCTGCCAAGTCGACCGACGCTCCCCCAGGAGATGCTAACATGCTCTGAAGGATGTCTGGAGTAATGGGCTCCTCCCTGATGTAGGGGGAGGCATTTGACCTTTTAAAGCCTTGGAGAGCAATCTTTGCCACAGGACTATCGGCTGGCGAAGGTAAGCTAGCCGATGAATGGACACATTTCACGGATGCAGTGGCGGCGTTGGTGATGGACTTATGCTGCAAAGTCGCAATATGAATGATGTGTATTGAAAAATGAGGGCTGACCGGAAATGTAGAGAAAATGGCCATAGATGCAGTGGCGTATTTTACTAGTGGTGGTGGGCACAAGAAGGCCCCAGCATCTGGGGGGCACCAGCTTTCAGTGATGTGGTTTTTTGGGGCAAGCTTTTGTTAGCCGCGTTCAGTATCCATTCATCCATTTTTTTGTTTTAGTGGGGCACTGGGAAATTGTGGGGGCACGTGCTCACCCCAGCCCCCTCGACTACGCCACTGCTTTGATAATGCCCAATGTTCCCAGCATCTCCCAGATGCTAAGTTCACCTCTTGGTCGTCGTGGGAGCTTTGGCCGACATCATCATGAATGGAAGGTTGATCGAAGCACCTAGAAGCCTCAATGCTGGGTCTTGGAGGGAAACCACCACTCAGCGCCAAATTTCAGTCAAAAAAACAAAAACACGGAAAACTGCAAAGCAGCACTCTTGACAAGAGACTTCCAAGAGACTGCCAATGATCAGTGCGGCGAAATGCGCAGGCAGCTTGATGAAAACCTGGCAATTTGTACTATCGATTTATTCAACACTGTCAAAAAAAGAAAAATGACAGTAAAGTACTGCGGCACTTTTCGTCTCAGAGTATAGCAAGAATAGTACAAATAATCAACAATGGCATAAAAAGGGTATAGCAGAATCTTAAGACACAAACAAGACGTAGGCCTACGAGGAAATGGGACCGAATCGGTATCGAACACCTACGGTGTCTACGAAGCAACCCCCCTTCCGCATGTGGGGGAAACATGCGTGCATCCCGGGCTTCCGGCTTGGGTTCACTCCGGACTGTTTCGGCGTAAGGAGGATTAATACGGGATTGGGTGGTGAATCTGGTGTAGTACTAGGTTCAACGGCTTGACCGAAGCTCTTTATGTAAGGGTATAACTACCATGGAAAGGCTACGTAACCAAGTATGTGTAATCTACTATACGGTGTAATTCACTTGCACCTGTCGTGCGAAAACAAAAAGAAATTCTACCTCTTTTGGAGTGGTTTTATGCTGACGAACTCTTTTTGAAAGTGATTTTTTCACTCATTTACATTAAGAGAGGAATCCACCCCAGCCTTTTGCCTGATATCGCCACAGTATTTTTTTCAAGAGTCTTCAAGAGTTTTCATAGTAACTCTTTTCAGTCACTTTGACACCAATTTTGCGAAAATTGAACCGTTCTTGCACAGCGTTCCGCCCAAGGCCGTGAGATGGGTCCAAACCCGGCTCTCTCAGGGTTAAGCTTTGGAAATGAGTGGTACGTGACTATAATTAGGGTTTTTTTCACAAATTGCACACGAAATTTCTCTTGAAGAACTTGAATATTCAAATTCGTGTGATGACACGACAAACATTTTTTAACGGCTGGAAAATGTGTTTTAACAAAAGAATGGATCAGCCTGGGTTCATAAGTAATTTCTGAAAATGTTCACATTGATTGGCTTTGAATATCAGTACTTTTAAAAAATCAGTAACGCCATCACAACGTCATAATTTTATGTATATTTTGGAGCACAAACTATTGGTTGTTATTAATTATATTATACCTGAACACGGTTTGTTTGACTACAATTGGAATAGACCATGGGACATGCACCTTGGCGGTTTCATCACTTTTTCTCAAACTTACAAGTACTTTACTGACTTGAAAGTAATGCTGTGCTGCCATGAGCAATGAAAAATTCATAACTCATCGGGAAATGCCAAACAAAGATTTTTTTACCCGAATGGTTCCTCTTTGTAAAAGTTCAAGGGGTTGACTGGAGCCTGTCACCGTGCCCTTCAACCTCACGTATCTCGTTCATTGCTTTATAGAAAAAAATGAATAGAGCTGGCACACCGAATATGAGGAAATACGAGGCACACGAAACGTCTATTTATGTACGCAACGGCCTACTGGATTGTAAGAGAAACTTACTACGGTACTTTGAGAAACATCTTATGATCACAGGTGCTTACAACAGAAGGTGTAATCACCATAACGACTAACATGGCATTGATTGACTTTATTACATTATTGTCAGTGCTTTTTGTATCAGGAGTGAATGGAGGTAAGAAATTTGACGTAGAAATCTTTGTTTAATGTGCGTAGTTTAAGCAAGTTTCCCACATGTAAATGTGAAAATCACCGTGTCTGTGTCAACGGGTGGAGGTCGATGATGGAAAGTCTTACTCGCGTGATAACAACGGACTAAACAGATTTAGTAAATGCACAGCATGGTCGTAGAATCGCCGGGCCAATGACGCATTGATTGGACACTATATCAGACTCAGAGCACCGGTCGTGCTACTATACTTGCGCCGTTAATTACTTGTCGTATGATCATGTCAAAACGGTGCATTTAGGCCTATGGGTAGAAAAATTCTTCGGAAATGAAAGCCATCGTTATTATACCATTACCCACAGAACTGTGTTAGAAGGCCTAACCTAAGGGCAAAACTGGGCTGTTTGGCCCTTAATTTATTACACTCCAACATAGGGATGATTTTACCTTACTCCTACTCGCCGTTGGCACAAAGAATATTCTGTGAAATCTTCAACGCCAGAAACTTAACTGTCGTGTCCAAGAGCAGGATGAGGACGAACGAAATCTCCTCATACACATTTTGCCCTGATATTGTCGCAATGCATTTGATAGATCCCTTTCCATTTAGAAACAATATTGCATTGAGATCGGAACAATAGGCCTACGTTCTCGGGAAATGCTCGTATTTATCGCAGGTAAGCTAAAAACGTAAACTTTTCCAAAAGAAGTAAGTTTCACAATTAATTTGTTTTATTATGAGTGGAAGCGCCTCTCTCTCAATCATTTAATGTTTTCATTAATATTTTTCAGTTGATCTGGAGATAACATCCTTTGTTTCCAACCCTGAAAGTCCAGTAACAGACAAAGAAGGGACTGCAGAAAATGTGACACTGCAATGTCAAGTCAATCTACCATCAACTTATCTTACGTCAGTCACCATTTCTGATCCTAATGGAGTAATGACAAATGTTACAACCACAACAACGCCACCATCTCCGGCCTTGTATGAAATCACTTTAAGTGATGTGCACCCCTCACATTCAGGGACATACACCTGTACAGCTTCGGCCTCAACTGGGTCAGTACCAACAACCAGTCAAACATATCAGCTGAATGTTGGTAAGCAGTGCAGTATATTACCATGACAGAAATTATGTTGAAAGTAACACCCACATCTACATGTGGCCTTCCTCGGGCCGGGGGGGGGAGAAGTTTGCCGACTGGATTTACACAGAAATGTATAATGAGTTATATGCAGTTTAATGTCATCTATGTGATTGGTTCTAAGCTGACCAGTTGATCACTTCATCAGTTACCTTCATTGGTCTCAGTAGTCTCACAAGAACTGTTACAAACCCAGCATCAGGGAATGTGTACATATTTGAAATCATTTGGAGTGAAGTGAATACCTCAGACATAGGAACCCATTTATGCAGGTGCTACACAAGTGAGTTATACTACAACACAAACAACTGTGCGGATTACTAATCGATAGTTGGTGTATGTTGTTCATCATTTATGTCTAAACTTTTTGGCATCATTGAAGCCCAACCGTCCAACTTCCTGATGATGCATCTGCAATGGGAAGCAGCATACGGGACATTAAAATAGGGATGTTGCACACTGGGTTAATGATCAATTAAGAGTGAATTCTTGGTTATGGGAACCAGGCAGTAGTTGTAGAAAATAAGCATTTCCAACTTTACTGTGGGTGGTTTTGATATCCTTCAAACAATATGCGTCAGGAATCTACGGGGCATGGTTTGACTCGGAAATTACAATGTAGGCCAATGCCTACATCGCCAAGACTTGTTCGGCAACATTCTTTTACCCATACAATATTAAATGCATCTGTAAATTCTTCTCTCACGATTCCCTTTCAATGTTAATTCATGATTTGTGACGCCTAGACTATTAGGGCGCATAAAAAGTTGTTGATCGTCCCCGCCCGACCCACCAAAACGCCCTGACCACGGTTGTTTTTTAATACTGCGTAACTATGGTGAAGATGCAAAGATTGCGGTAATTCAAAAGTACAAAAATCATATTTCATAATAACCAGACAGTAAAATCCAAAGCTGAACCTTTCCGGTATCTGCAGAAGTCTCTGTTCATGCGGAATTGCAGGTTGTCATGTAGCAGTGGCGCAGCGCACGCTAAATTCACATTAAAATCTGAGACCTTTTCCATTCATTCAAACTTTGCTTATTGACTGGCTTGGGCAGTGCTAGTACTGTACTTGTATGCAATGTCTTCATTAAAATATTTTACAGCAAGCCGATTTATGTAACGCTGGACTAGTCGTATGACTAGGCTTTGCATCTAGTCATGTTTGTTGCTGTAAAATGTTCACCCGAACGATCCATAGTGTGCTTCTTGTAGTGACGTCTTGTAATGAGAAAAACTTCTAAATTTCAGCCTCGTCTCTGCCGCACATTCGCCTCTGTCATCGAAATCGAAATCACTTGTTGCCATGTACGTTGTTCAAACTAAATGACAATACTTCCATCTTTTTCAGTGAGCAAGAATTTCCGAAGTTAGTGAATTAAAAATGAGGCAAAGCTGAGATATTTGACATTCGGCCGTGCAGCATGCACGTGTAGGTTATGCATATTCAACCAATACATTCACACCGCTCTGAGCTCGCATCCAACTCGTTGGTTCATGTAAAATCAAGACCTTTTCTTTTCAGCGTATAGCATTTACAAGATAGTGTAACTGTTAACGATTCCAATGTAGGCCTAGTTTTTATTTCTAGTGTCACCTTGTCGGGCAGTTATATGTTTTATTAAGTGGGTATAGGTTAGAGGCGTCTGTCCCCGGGAAAAAGAGGGACATTACCCACGCCAACAAGTTTCGGCTGAGGTAATATTTCTCCCTGTTGGTGTCACAGACGTATCCCCACACTGCAATTTGGAAACTGATATATGGTGACACACTGATTCATTGAATTCAATCTCTTTTGTGTTCCTTATTTAATTGTAATTGGCCTTTGATCAATATTTTGTATGAAATTAGCACATTTTAAATGTTAAATTATCAAATCACACATATACAGCATACCTTTATATTGATAAATATCTGAAGTCTTTACCCTTTACAGATATCGATGAATGTGATTCATCAACTTGTGGTTCTAATTGTGACACCTGTCATACCGATGCCACCTGCACCAATACAATTGGTAGTTACACCTGTGCATGTAATGCTGGCTACTCTGGAAATGGAGTCACTTGTCAAGGTAATCACAATCCTCGCCTTCATCCCCTTGTTCCTAAATGATTGACATACAGTCTGCAGAACCAAGTGCCATTCATTTATTTCAAAATTTCAGATTAACCTAGCATGATATCAACAATCTTTTACAGATATCGATGAATGTGATCCATCCTGTAGTACTAATTGTGACACCTGTCATACCGATGCTACCTGCACCAATACAATTGGCAGTTACACCTGTGCATGTAATGCTGGCTACTCTGGAAATGGAGTCACTTGTCAAGGTAATCACAATCCTATGCCTGTAAGTTTAAATAGTTAGTGTTTAGTGGTTCGACATAGTTGTATTGGTTTTGTGGAAACTTTGATCAGTTCTTGGAAATAGTGCTACCAGGTCTTTACTAAGGGAATAAATAAGACCTGGTCGAGGGAGAATGGACGCGACTAATGCCCGAGCAGCAGGCGAGGGCATTATCAGCGTTCATTCTCCTGTTCATGATCGACCAAGCACATAAATGCCTTTATTCTCATTCATAAATACAATTTTCAACAG